ATCTTCCATTAGGTTATAATCCATTACTACTTTATTTTCTTATTCAAATTATTCCAGTTAATATGATTGTTAATTATGCCAATGAAAGGGGAAACAAGCAAGTATCCAAATCATTGTTTGCCAAGCACACGTTTTTAGAACAAAATGTAAAAAATATAGGATGAAGAACATAGAGTCCAAAGTGAGTCAAAGAAGGGATGACCAGGCGGGGCTGCCGGCTGATCTCAGTTGGGATTGGATAACATCCGTGGGGGGGAGGGGCTTGCATATGTTAAAAGTTGGGAGGAAAGGGCAGGGCTGGCCTGCTGCTCAAAATTCTGGCCGCAGGTGGCGACAAGGAGGAGGTGACCCTCTTCAGCTCCTGGTGTACTTCCTAATTTTCAAGGAAAATGATCTTCAGAGTGGAAAAAATATAATAAATGGTGATTAGAGGAAATGAAAGCCTGCGATCGCTGTGGAGATCACAGGAGGGCCCCGTCTGCATTGAATCAGGCCCAGATGAGTCAGATCCTAATATAATGAGGGTGGACTGCCAAGCTCTTACAACGCTGGAGGAATTGTGGAGAATGGTCAGTCCCAGGTAAGATGTTTGAATGGATAATTAACAAAAAATAGAAGAAGCAGTCATCTCTAGGAAGCTGTCATGCATTGACAGGAAACAAAGGTCACGGAAGGTGAACCTGTGGGCCCTGCCAGGCACGTCTGGGTTCTGCTGGCAGCTGCAGGGCCTGCGTGATGTCCCGATGGATAAGAGGCGGAGTTTGCAGCTCAGTGAGTGAATTAACGGCTCATCTGGACCTGAAGAGGATGTTGATTAAATCTCCATGAGCCTGGATTGAGGTTTCTGGTTGTACTGGGGCCTCTTGTGGGCCATTTCACATCACCTGTTCCTCCATCCACCACCAGCCTCAGCCCAGCGCGGCCGCCTCCGGCTTCCTTAACCAACGGAGGACATAAGCCAGTGGATAAGCGCTCCCTTGCCCCCTCAGAATGGACGTCCTGAGAATTTCCGAATGTAATGAGTGTCAGTCTGCCCACACTTGTAGCCAAGCTGGTCACCCACCCACATCCTGGCCCACCTGCCGGCCCATTGCAGCCCTTCCATCCTCCACGCCTCCTCCTGGATCACGTTCCCAACAAACTGTGTGCAGGCCAGGCTCTGCCTCCTGGGACCCAAGCTAAGGCATGTGTCGGACCCCATAGGATTCTTTTACTGTAAGGTCATCTGATTAACAAATGACTTGAAACCAGGAGAAATAGCTGAGAATAATCAATATCCAGAAAAATTCCTCAACAAGCTAAGTCATTCTTGGGACCAGTCATAGTAGATGAAAGGATAGCCTCTCAGTGCTCCAGAGAACAATAAAACTGGTGCTGAGCACTGTGGGGTGGTGAGGACGCACACATGGCCCTCTGCTCAGCTCACAGACTGCTGGGACTATGGAAGCATGGAATTCCAGAATCAGAGTCACTTTCATTGAGAATTTTGAAGGCATCCTTCCATTACCTCCAGCTGCCAGTGCTACTGGAGGGAAAGCTGTGTTTCTTTTTTTTAATCTCCATCTTTTATATATGTGCTTGTCCCCGCCCCCACGGAAGCTTTTGGGGTTTTCTGTTTGTATCTGGTTCTCTGGGATTCCACACTGTGTGCCTGGTTGTGGTGGTTTCCATTCCTCGTGCCCGGCATGCCATGTGCCCCTGGAACCTGACACATGTCGCTCAAGTCCGTCCTCTAGAGTTTCTTCAGTGGTTTCATTCCTGCTGTTTTCTTTTTTCCTTCTTTTCTCTTTTCTTCTTTTCTTTTCTTTCTTTTTTAATCCTCACCAAGGATATGTTTTGATTGATTTTAGAGAGAGAAATGTTGATGTGAGAGAGAAACATCAATTGGTTGCCTTCCATACACGAGAATTCTTTAAAAAGGTATTAGCTGCCAAAACCGGTTTGGCTCAGTGGATAGAGCGTCAGCCTGCGGACTGAAAGGTCCCAGGTTCGATTCCGGTCAAGGGCATGTACCTGGGTTGCAGGCACATCCCCAGTAGGAGATGTGCAGGAGGCAGCTGATCAATGTTTCTCTCTCATCGATGTTTCTAACTCTCTATCTCTCTCCCTTCCTCTCTGTAAAAAAATCAATAAAAATATATAGATATTAGCTTGTAAGACCGTGTAATAAATAACTTCAAAATGCAATGGGTATTTAATTTTAATGTAAAACATTTTTTGTACTCATTCAGTAGGAACTTAATCTGGCCCTGGGTAAAGCTAGCAATAAAACTACTGGTCCGCAATGTGTTAGCGTTCAAGGTGGTGTAACCAAGTGGACACCAACAGTGTGAGGGTGCACTTTGTTCACAGGCTGGCTTCTTGCTCGTGAGTCATCC